AAAGCATATGCTTTTTAATAAAACATATTAGTTGGAAAAGGTGATTTTTGGTTACCATAGTCCAGTGTTGCTCAACCTTGGCAGCTTGAAGATGTGTGGACTTCAACTCCCAGGCTGGCTGGGGAATTCTGGGAGTTGAAGGCCACACATCTTCAAGCTGCCAAGGTTGAGAAACACTGCCATAGAACTAATACTTAGCCATCCAGCTGATGAGGAACCTCAACCTGGCTACCTCACCAGATGGTAGTGAAGCTAAAAATGAGTGGCCAACATGCATATTTTTATTTGAATTGATTTGTGTGATTTATATCCTGCCATGAACTCTGTGGAGGTAGAGGGGATAAAAAGAGCAAGCAAATAATATGTTGAAGATAGGAAGTGGGAATTAGAGGAGAAAGAAGTTCTAGGTCATGACCTGTCCCTTGGGCTGAGTTAATTATCTTATAAATCTCACCAGCTTTATCATCTCATTGCTCTGTAAATGGCTTTAATTATAGCCTTAACTCTTTCTTAAACTACTGGCAGTAGTTTGGCCACCCTCTGTAGGTTCAACGGGGCTTGGATGTTCATGTTGGCAGGAGAGAATGTTGTGCCTGCAAATTCATAAAGTTCCTGTCTCCTTTCCAAAATCAACAAGAAAACAACTCGGGCAACCTCCTCAGCCCATTTCCATTTCCCTTCGCTCTTTCTTTGCAGGTCAGCGTGGCTGCCCCCAAACAAAAGCCGAAAACACCGTTCTGTTTTGGTAAGCCTTAATTGGGGGGAGCAACCTTTTTCATTGAGGGGCCACATTGACCTTTTGATCTTGCTTGAGGGCCACAGGCCAACTGATTTGTCCCCCTGTTGAAGAACTGACTTTGGGGAAGGTATCTCAAGGGTGAAGGGACAGCTGGAGCTCCATGGTTGCTTTTTGTCCCGTAGCCTCCCCAAGAGGCAAGTGTGGCTGAGTTTGGGGAGTCTAGGTTTAAGGGGCACTAATCTGTATGAGTGCCTTAAACCTATGCATTTTCCCCAAAGCCCCCCAAACAAAATGATCAGATCTGAAAGGATCAGCCCTGCCCACTCTGCTCTTTGAGAGGTGCTGATGAGATGCTGTGATGCTGCAGTTGTTCATCCCTAATGTATGTCCTTATGGGGAGGATGAAGACCGGAGAACAACTTTGGGGTACCCTTTGAGCAGAACTTTGGCTTGAACAGGCTAAGATGTGATGCAAAACACACAAGTGCTTCCTGGCAGGCATCGAGCGCAATCCAAAACACATTTTGCTCTTCAAATCCAAAGTCCTGCACAGTTCTAACATGTAGGTGGAAACTGGACAAGTGAATTGACTTCTTACTTAGGAAGCAACATGGGGTGATGTTTGTGGCTTTTTAGCTACACCAGCTTGGGAATCAAATGGAGATTTGAGCGCTCTTGGAGCAGAGGTTACTTTGCAAGAGGGGGGGAAAGGGTAAAAAGGTAGTCTTCTTCAAGTTGAGTTCAATTCCTGGGGACTTTATGGACACATCACTATAGTTTTTTTTGAGAAGTGCTTTCTCAACTCCTTTTAGGATGATTTCACACACACACACACACACACACACACACACACACACAGTCTAGCTTAGTGCCTGGGATTTTCTCGTGGCTTCCTATCCAAGTCTTAAACTGGTGTGACCTTACTTACTTTTATGAGACCAGCCAAGGTCAGCTAGTTGTTGCCACCTAGATGGGCTCACAAGTGGAGGTTTACAGATATCATTTCTGCCTTATGGTAGAATCTGCGGTGATTCGGATTCTGATCTTTTCTCTTCCAAATGAGCACCCATTGGGTCTTTATCCTTGGGGCATAACTTAAACGTTGATTTCCACCAGCTTAGCCTAGCTTTGCACAAGAAAATGAAATGGAAGCCTAAGAAAAAAGAAGTGCTTTGCCAGTGCCTCAAGGCCTCCTGCTCTGTCTAAGTTAAGGAGAAGGTGGCTGAAATGGATTAGAAAGCAGGATAGAAATAAACATCATCAGACAGGAAGCCCTGAGGATTGAGGAGGAGGTGGCAGAACTACAAGAGATTGAACTGGTTGACTGTCTTTGCCCTTCCCAGGCAATTTATTACTTTATTACTTTGATTTCTTTCTCTTTCCAGCTCTTTAAGCGTTGAACAATATACCCACATTTATATACATAGAAATATCAGCACACCTGGGTTGGGGGGTGACCACCCCTTGAACAGAACTGCTGTTGAGAAGAAGTCAGCCTCTTAGAGAAAACTGCCAAGTTTTCAGAAACACAGAACAAACTATCTGTAATGTAGAGAGGCCTTCCTTCTCCACCCTCCCCAAAAAGGCTGAGTAATGACCAAGCTTACTCAGGACCTGCAGATGGGAACTCTGACGGCTGGAAATGGTCAGGGGGAAACCAGGAGTAAACCAAAGTGGGGGGACAGAATGGCTGAGGAGATGTCGGGTCACTATAGCGTTTTCTTTTGTCAAGGGCAAGGAATAGAGAACTGCTTGTTTTCAGATTCTGTGGGGTTAGCACCCAATTCTAATGGCAACAACCAGATCTAAATTGGATTGCATTTGGATGGACCTAATGCCCTTTGGAACTTAGGAAGTTCCTTTGGAAAATTCCTTTGGAATGTTTGCCCACCAATCAAAGGGAAAGTAGAGCTTGCTAAATAATAAGATGGGTGTAGTGAGCTTGTACTTTTCGGCTCAGAGATCCCCCCACTTTGGTTTTTTTGGCACACCTAGCCCCCTTTTCTTAATTGGACAACCACTCAATGGCACATCTCCCTGGTGGAACAACTTCTTCTCAGTTGATTTGCTGCCACCACCTGTTTTAAACTGGAACCATCTTTCTCCCTGAATTTTAGGTACAGTACAGGCAAAACATGGAAAATCTCTTCCGTCTTTCACTGCAGCTGCATGGAAACTAATGGTTTTATGCAAATGCTGATAGCTGAGCAATGAGTGGAATGAAGTGAATAAGGGCTGTTCCTAAATAAGAAGGTCAACAAGCGTTTAGAATATTAATTTCATTAATGTAAAAGTTGGCCATTCCCCAATATATTTGCAGGCAAAGGTTAATGAAAAAGTCAACCCACCATGTCCAGTGGAAATATAAATCGAATGCATCTGCTTTATCATTTTCCCAGGCATAAAACAATCACTCTTCCAGGCATTTCCTGCAGTCAGGAATCAGTGAAGATCCTTGCCTTTAGTCTCTTAGAGGCACGCAACTGGAGACTACACGTGGCTCTCAAAAGGCTTGGTTGCAGCCCTAAAAAAAACCTCCAGAAGTTTTTAAATGATCATTGTTATATGCCAGGAGACAAGTATTAAATGCACAGCTCATTTGTTGCTTTAAATAGCTGGGCATAATAACTTACTCCTCTCCTCTGAGGAATTGTGCTGTTGAATTCCGGCAGCAAAATTTGGGGAGTCTCTCAGGGCCACAAAAAGGGGTCTTTGAATTCATCCTCTGGTTTTCCTGGAGTGGTGGCCCATGCAGCAGGAACTTCTTGGAGAAATTGCAACGGGTTCATGGAGCAGGGAATGAGGAGTGGAGAACACAAGAAAAAGAAGTCTCCTTCTGGAAGCTAAGTAGTTGCTACCAAGGTCAATCATGTGCACTCTTGAAAATGATGTACCACTCTTGATCATGATATTTGTATCTGCAGTTATCAACGCCTTGTCTCAGCGCTATGTCCTGCAAGCAAATGACCAAAAAGATCTGCAAGACTGGGTGGAAGCATTAAATACTGCCAGCAAGATTACGGTAGGTATTCTCTGTTCACATCATCTGGGATTCCCACGCAGTTTTCCAGTAGTGATGCCCGGGGGAGGGAAGAGAGCAGTTCATTTTATCTGGAAGTAGGTTGTATCTTAGTGCTGGTCTCCTTGTATATTCTGTTCAGGAGTCTGATCAGGTGAATTTAGGCAGAACTGGGAGTATAAATTACAAAAAAGGTGTTGATTGGCTGAGGGCTTAGTGTACTGCTTAGACAATTGGCCCAGTCAAGGCATCATAGCTAACTGTGATTTGTGTAACCCTAATTTAGAGTCCAAGCATGGCTGAAGCTTCCGTATGGAGAAACTGCTGGTTAGAACTGTCCATCTTGTCTCTTTTTCCATCTGTTTAATATTTTCCTTGGGGCCCTGGCTTTTGGGGCAAAATGCCAACTGCCTTTAGGGCTGCATCTGCCCCTTGGCCTGTGTGTGGGTGAATTCAATTCTCTTGGGGTTGATTAGCAAGCCAATTGTTGGATGTAGGATTTGAAACTTCTCCACTGAAATGTGGGCTGGCTAAAATAGTGGCATTTTCTTCCAGATGGGAACATCACATCAGATGGAACCAGTGGACTGCATTCTTTGCTTCTTGGTACTGACTCTGCCCACTGGTCCACACTGCTGTATCTGGAGCTTGGCTTTTGCTAGCCCTGTTACAAACCTGGAATGATTTAAGGCCATATTTTTCTGTTCTGAGGAGCTCTGGGATTTCTTGGAAGTATTCTGGTAGTTGTCCTGCCTCTTTCCCTAAGAGGCATCTGTTGTGGGTTTTTTGTCATTGTTGTTGCTGTGACTGGTCTTCCCCTATGCTGGATAGGTAAAGAAGGAAGAAGAATCAGGAGAAGAGCCGTGGGATGGGAGAGTTAAAGGACTTCCCTATGAAACTTTAATTGGGCAATCACCCTGCCTTACTAGCCAGATTTTGTTGGGGTGTGTACTCATCCAGATGACACTGTCTTCCATAGGTAACATTCCCCGTGTTTCCTACCACTTCTTCCAAGGGAGAGGTAGAATCTATTGCACAAGTTCCTATGCTGCCAGTTTAGCACAGAGATACATCAACCTGAAGACCGAGGATCTTCTGTGGCCTCTGAATGTCTTAGATTTGATCTCCTACCCTGAGCCCAGACAAGAAAAGTTGGTGCCAACTTTTTAATATAGCAGAAGGGGAAAACTATAAAATGCATGCAGAGCCATCACACTGTCTCTAATTTTATTTTAATTTTATTGAAATATAAATAAACCAAGGGGAGAACCACATCCCCTCCTCAGCATTCCACTTAAAGACTAAAGGTGGTCTGACCTAAAAGTATTATACAGTACACTCCTGGCCTTGTAGCTAGCTCTCTCCTGTCCCGTGGTTTTTTTTTAAATCTGTGTCACAGAATGGTGGCAAAGCCCAGGATGCAGACGAGCAGCCCCAGCAGATTGGAGGAGCCCCCTCAAGTCCCCTACTTATCAGGGCTAGCTTCTGTGCCTGCTTTCGCCATTAGGTAGATGAGAGACAACCCCTCTACCCCCCCAACCCCAAAGAACCTGGGGAGGAACATGTTTCAAATACAGAAAAGATTTTGCAGCCTTAGTATCCGTCCATCTGATTCTATCCCTACTGCTTAATTTTGCAACATCTCTCTGCCAGTTGTGAAACAGGAAGTTACCCTGTAGTAGGTTTACTTCCCATTTCTTGGCCATGAAGGCAGGTGACTTCCCTCTGAGTTAGCCAAGCTTGATTTTGACAATTGCTATCTTGGCGTACCAGATGGGTGGAGAAATGAATCTGAGAGATGTTTGGCCGGTCAAGTCAATATAGGACTGATTCATACATTGGCTGGGCTTCTACAGTACAGGAAGCCATCACACTCATTCATACATTCTACGTGATGCTCCACTAACCATTTGTGGAGGACACTGATGCATGATGTTATCCTTAACTTGCCACTGGCCAGCCACAAAGACAGCTGGTGCCCATCTTTTTTTGTTCTGCGTCAAAAGTGGTGTTTTCCAACTTCTGCAGTGGTTTATTTTGTTGAAGGCAGGGTCTCCACCCCATTGGCTGGTGTATTCCCTTCCTTTCTGGTCAGCGATAGCTGCCCTCCACGGCCATTTCATCTAAGGCTTTTGGGCTGCCTGTCACCCTTCAGAAGGAACCTTCCCATAGAAAACCAGATTGTGTTTTGCTCAGCAAGGAATGTCTTCAGCTTCCACATTTACAATTTATACCTGAAAACACCAGAGTTTGGGACCTTGCTACTCTACACTCAAGCCAAACATTGGTATCCCAGTGAATAGTTAAAGAATTTGGCAGATCTGTGAATGTAGTAGGTGGGTTCACCTACTTTTTCCTGCCTGCCATATAACAGAGGAATATTTCACATAAGTGCAGTGGGGCAGCACCATTTTGCCTGCACCAAATCTGTTTTGTATTCTTTGTGGGATATTTTGGGGCAGCCAGCTGGTACTGGCATTCCTTGCAATACTTAACCAGTTTGAGGTATTGGGGAGCTGGGATGAAACTGCCAAAAGTCCTGTCCATTTTGCCTTCTAGCCCAAGTGACAGGAAGAATAGCAAAACTGTCTACCAGTCACAGAAGTAGATTGGAAAATTTCTGTCCAAAAGTAGTCCAGCTGGCCGGTCGATGGCCTGGAGGACAGCCAAGAGCTTCACCCCACACCCCTCCTCTGTCTCACCCACCTGTCAGCTTGACTATTTGGGGGCAGAAGGTTACAGTCATCCAGGAAACTGGTAGACAGACTTACCATTCTTCCTGTTTCTTCAGCTTTGGGAGATTGGTGGACCTGTTTTCAGAAATAGCCCAAGTGACAAGTTTCTGAGGTGGAGCACCTCCACACCAGAGACTGATCACCTGAGCAATTTCTAACTGTCAAAAGCCTCTATCCCAGCACCCACCATTCTCCAAACTCACCCATCTACACTTGCCTGAACCCATCCAGACAAGCAGGTCTTCTGCTGCTTGTAACGGGCACTGAAGAAAGCATTCTCCACCCTACCTCTCTTTCCTCACACTTCTTGTGGGGACAAAAACCCTATTGTGTTTAATTGCTGAGGCAGAATAGCAGTTGGAAGTATGAACAATCCTTCTTTAAGCCAGCATACTTTCAATGTGGCTCCCACACTGGATAACAACACTTTAGTGCTACCATATAGATGAGCCCATAATGTGCTTGTGTGAATCTACTCATTGTGGTTTGTAAATATGGTATATAGTTTAATGAGATGTGTGAATCTATCCAATTGTGGATGATTACTTAGGATCAAGTGAGAACCCAATATAGTTTTTGTTTGTTTTGTTTAAATAAAGACCAGCCCCTTCCACCTTGATCGTGTTGACAGGAAGTTCTCGTGGTTGAAGCTCAGCAGTCGAGAAGGACCAGCTGGGAAAGACTGTAATAAGACTTAGATCATTTTGCATGATGGAGAGAAAGAAACAGTTGGAAGTTCTTCTCCATTCCACGTAACAAACATGGAAGGACCACTGTACATGTATTGGGCTTGATTACTAGGACAAGGAAAAGATTTACTTTTTTCCATAAAACATTATGACTTTTTTTTTTTTAACTTGTAAGCCGCCTAGAGTGATACAGTGAGATGGGCAGCGTATAAATGTGATTAATTAATAAATAAATTATTAATTTGCAATTATTTTTTTTTTTGTCTGCGCTCAGTCATTGCTGACCCTGCAGTGACTGCCTGGACGAGTCCCTGCAGTTTTCAAGGCAAGGTGTTTCGGAAGTGGTTTGCCAGAGCCTCCTTCCTAGGGCAGAGCCCAGCTGGCGAGCGCAGGAGGCGGGTTTTCCGTTGCTTCGCGCCCTTTTCGGGCGCACGCGGTTTTTCGCGCTTACTGGCAACTGCTCCCAACTCCTTTTTGCAAGGCGCAGCCAGCATTTTTCCTCCCACCGGAGTGAGAGTCCCCATTTATCTATTCACATGAGTTT